CACCAGACAGGGTCTGTGGGGTTTGCAGGGGTCCAGGGTCCTTCGGGCACTGGGCCAGCTCCAGCTCTGCTGACAGCACCTGGCAGCAGCACAGCTTCATCCTCTGCTTGCCTGGCACTGGGTCTCACCAGGTTTTTTTCTACAGCTGGAGACCTTCCTGGGGGTTCCAGCCCAGCCAGTGGTATTTAGAAAGGAGAAAACTTGCTGTGAGAGCTGCTGGCAGGGCCAGGAGGCACATCCAGTGCCAGCCGTTAGAGCCACCGGGGGAGTCCTCCACCACCCGCGTTCTCAAGGGCTTTAGTGTCCGCTGCCACTGAGTCAGGATGGCGTTTCTGGCCCCACTCCACTTGCCCCGTCCCACCAGTCGGTACTGGTAAGGCGTGCAGGGGCCAAAGAAGATGGCCAAGGCCAGCCGGGGGTCTGTCAGGAGCAGCCTTGGTATGCTGGGCTTTATACCAGCACACGAAGCGATTTCATCGGTGTAGCTGATAAAACTTATCTTCAGGTTCTCCCTCTCATCTGGGGTCCTTCAAATGGACGTAAAAGAGACAAAATCAAATAGAGTCATCCTACCCTGGTTCGCAGCTTCACAGAAAGCAACAGATAGATCTGGGCTCAGACACTGGCCAAGACCTGGTCCCCAGGGCCAAACTCCCTCAGCCCCAAAGAAACCTAAGGACACCAAAAGAGCCTCTGTGGGGTTGGTCCCCAGCAGTTGCCTGGGGCAGAGAATAGGCGGGGTCTTGTTTTGTCTCTGCAATGTAGTTGTGGCCTCAGAAATGCTTCTAGTCTAATACTGCCACCATTGTAATGCTGTGAATACCCACGTTCTGGCCCTCCTCGAGGTTCACAGATGTGGATTTGGACAGTTTTAGAGGCAGAGGAGTAGACATTCACAGGCAAGACTGCCAAAAGGACTGGGAAAAACTAGGAGATGCAGAAAGCTTCCAATGTTGGGAGAGACCTCCAGGATTTTTCTGCTTGAGGAATTATCTCCCTTGCAGGAGGGAGGACATGTGCTGAATCTGCTTCTGCAAGTTTGGAACAGCCTTGAGTTTGCCTCCACTGCCTCTCAGACTCCCATATTTCTGTGTAACAGCATTGTGTCTGCAGTCACTAGGGCTCCTGGTGACAATCCCCATGGCTCTGTTTTGTGTCAAATTTTCATTAGTGTCCTGTGAGGTAGCTCTGCTTTGCTGGCAGACCTAGCCCAGCCTGCACCCCCACCTGGCCCAAGGTCCCCTCCTTGCTCCTGAAACCTGCTACAAGGCAGCACATCCACCATCACCCATCCCACAGCCATTTCTTGACCTTCTGTAAAATCCTAGTGCCAAAAAGGCAGCAGGTTAGCTCCTACGTACACAACGGATGAGTTCCAGCCTGGTCTAATACTCAACGACCTGTCAAAGACTGCTACCAAACTGTTCCCCACCTGCATCGCCTGACTCCAGTGGGGCTTCTGGATGGGGCTTGGCCCTGACCCCGGTGCTCTCTGCTGCCTGGATTTGGGAGGGAGAAGCCACGAGGTGGCACCCTTGGTCTGGAGGAAACCAAACCTCCATCTTGACAGGCTGGCAATAAGGACATGGCTTGGAGCCCTGACGGAGGGGACCTTCAAGTCCTGGGTCTTGCCATAAGCTGATCCAGAGCACTGTGCCCTTAGTGTCTTTGTCTGTCATCCACAAAGGAGACACAACTACATTTCACCACCTTCCTACCGGTGGTGAGGGAATAAATGCACCTAAGAAGCTTTGTGTGTCCTAGGTGGGTTCTTCCCACAACTGCCATAGGGTCATCCTTTCCCTGGGATTATCCTGGCACATGGTGCCCGTTGCACCTTGAATGCAGAAGCAACATGCACCTTTTGACTGGTGGCTTCTTCTTTAAAACATCAGCCATCATCCTGCTGGTGGGAGGGAGCTTATTCCAGCCTGAGAACAACAGAGAAACCAGAGACCTCCAGCAGCACTTTAGGCTGAAAAGTTGCCTCCCCCTGCCATGCTCCCAGCCCCTTTACTGAGAATGGTCATGCTTGCTGGTTACAGCAGCATGCGTAGAGAGGTATGGGGTTGCGGTTGTGGAGCAGAGGCTATGGTGCTACCAGTGCCTGTGGCCACCACGGGCACTGTGCCAGTAGCCAAAATATGCCCTAGCTCCTGGGCACAGCAGTTTAGGCTATCCCAACCCTCCCACTCCAGCAGATCTCCCCATGCTTGCACATTGCCTCCCACCTGCAAAGATCCCTGCCACCCAGCGAGCTTGCATTTCTGCTCCCACCATCACAGAACCAGTCAACTGGACTAAGCCAATGATGGCCAACGTTGGCTTCTCCAGCTGGGGAGGGAAGATGCGCTTATAGAGGGAACGGTTATCATCAAAGAGGCTGCGAACTGACTCTTCAAGGAAGGGAAACGAGAAAGAATAGCCTGTGGCAAAGAGCACCACATCAATGTTTTCTTCAGTTGTTCCATCTTCAAAAACAGCAGAGCTTTCAGTGAACTCCTTCACTTTTGGCTTTAACACAACGGTCCCAGAGAGGAGGCAAAACGGCAGCTCTTCGTTGACAATTATCTTGAAGTTGGAGCTTGCAGGTAGAAAAGAGGACAGCAATGTTAGCATTTGGGAGGGACATGAAACATCCTTTGTGGCCAGAGTTCCAATGGTTTCCTATTTCACAAATATCCCCCGAAATTAACAACTGAGAATTTCATGCCATTAAAAACCCCTGACCAACCCACAAAATAGTGAGAAAAAACACCTTTTGGTGGAAGCCAAGCCATAGTTTGCATGATTGAACCATGAATTGAACTTCCAAAACTTGATCCTCTTCATGAGGGCTGATGGGAGAAGCCAGTCAAGAAAGTGTTTGAAGCGGGTGGTGTTGACCATGTCGAAGGGGAAGCCATGGTTTGAAACCCGGCTTAACACCCATGTGCTACTCCTGGCACTGAGGAACACCTAGGGGAGAAGGCAGCTCTCAGTCTCCTGCCCAGACATCTCCTTTCCATTTTGCCCTGAATGGCAAATCCCATCTCCTGTACTTGGGAGGTGAGAGGAGTATCCCAAGGAAAGGAGCTGGTGTCCAGATGAACCAAAAAGCTCGTGGTGGCTTCTGCAAAATTCCCACAGGTGCTGAATGGCCACTCCTCAAGTGGCCCAAACTCTCTAGGAATTGCAGAGCATCTTCAATTGCCCTCAATTTGAAGTGGTATTTATTGAGAAACCCAGTAGGCAAAGCTTCCTTGTGTGTACCCCAAGCCACTGGCTGTCATGGCCCCCGGCTGGGCTCAGCACCACCATGGAGTTGTACCTTCGCAGCCACACGGCTCAGCTCCACGGAGAGGTCGCCGCCAGTGTTGCCAATGCCAACTACAAGGACCCGCTTTCCCCGGAAAGCCTCCACATCTTTATATTCCTGGCTGTGGAGGTACTGGCCTTTGAAGCGAGTGTTGATACCTAGGCAGAGAGCAGGGAGCATCTCCTACTGCCAGATATATTTGCTTGGCCCAGCCTCATGCCCAGACCCCCTGCATCCCCCAACCCTCTACCTCCCACCTCTGCTTGCGTATGAGAACCTCATGGAGGTCTTGGCGCCCTGGGTGATGCCACCCTCCTGCACCTCTTCAGCTTGGTCCTCCTTTGCAAATTCTCATGCAAGAGCCTGGCTGCATCTTTACAAGGTGTTTTTGCCATTCCTGGGAATGCGCCCCGCCATTCGCAGAGGGTGAGGGTCCTGCCTGCCCCAGCATGGGTGCTTCATGGAGCAGGCAGTCTCACAGAGGATAGTGCAGCCAAGGGACCCATGGTTGCCAGGTGAAATCCCAGGGGGCAGCCCCAGTCCACCCCGCTATTGAGGCAGGGCTTACCTGGGAAAGAAGCCAATGGCAAGTAGGGCTCCTGGTAGTGGCCAGTGCAAACCATGACAGCATCAAAGACATGCGACTCCTGTACACCGCTGCTGTCAGTGACCACCTCCCACTGGCCCGAGGTGGAGAAATCTGGGCGCTTCTTCACGCTGAGAGCTGTTGTCTTGCACCAAAGCCCAAAAAAACAGCAGTCAGCAACTGCACCATGTTTCTAAGAGGACCTGCCTGCAAAGGGCTGGAGCTGCCAGGGAGAGGCTGGGTCACCACAGAGCTGAATGTCATCTCTGAAACTATTAAATCTCACCATGCACATTTCCCCTGGTGATTGCATTTGCAGAGCACGCAACAGGCAGCCCAAGTTCAAGCAGCCTAGTTTAAAACATGGAGCCAAAAAGGTTGCATTCAGGATGCAGAGGGCACGTGATCATCGTGGCATCACACCTGCATTGTCCCATCCCATCCAAGTGATGCCCTGGTATCTGCAGCTACTAATGTCTCTTCTCCCCATGGCATTCGGAGTCCCTACTCACCTTGAAGCGTATGTGCTGCAGGAGGTCGAAGTGCCGGGCGTACATCCGAAAGTACTCCAGGAGGAGGCTGTGGGGTAGGTAACTGGGAAAATCCTCTGGGCAGGGAAAGTCACTGAAACAGGACATCTCCTTGGAGGTGTTGGTGATGACTGAGCGGTACACGCTGACCCTTCCACTGTCCGTGGAATCCTGTGTGAAGCCAGCAGTGCTGCTTGCAGGTGTACAGGGAAGGACTTGCTCTCCTCAAAGTATATGAGTATTTTTCTTCCTTGTATTTGGATACAAGGCATAAACCAGGACTACCACCTGGTGATCAGGGCTTCTGTTACCTCCATCTCCTTCTCTACCTTGGAGTCAGGGGGACTCCCATGCCTGGGACATGGACGGTCCCCAAGAGCATAGCAACCCTTTCCTCTTCACTGCAGGCAAAGGCCATCTGAGGGAGGGGACCAACCCAGAGACAATCCTCCCTGCACAGGCAGAGCCCACTGACCGTGTAGCGCCAGACCCCCCCGATGTCCTCGCTCCTCTCAAAGCAGGTGGGCTCCAGCCCCTCATCCAGGCAGCACTTGATGGAGGCCAACCCGCCGACCCCAGCCCCGATAACAGCCACGCGCCGCACCATGTTGTCCTGCAGCAAGGAACAGGCAGGCATGTGAGCAGCTGGAAATAAAACAGCCCAGGGATTAGCAGAAACACCAGTCCCTTCTTCCCATCCCAAGCAAAACACCCCTGGTCTTCTCTGGCTGCAGGCATCCACAGAGGAAAACTGTCCTTGGATAAAGCCACGGCCAGCTCCTGACATGCGCTTTGCGGATGGACGCTGCTCACTAGCTTTCCCTCTGAGCTCAGCCCACACCAAGGCCCCAGTGATTCCCCTCCTGCAGGCAGAGCGAAGAGGAGGCCCTTTTAAACCTCCCTGTGCTGCTGCTTCTATTTATTCTCTTTCCTGTCCCAAACCAGGGCCTGCAAAGAAGGGGAAGGAGCTTGCAGCTGTTTGCTTCTGCCTGCAGAGAGGGATCCTCCTGAAACCTTTCCAAAAACAAATTTCAGTTAAGCTGGCTCATTTTCATGCTTTCCTTTTTAATTTTCCATTAAAGGGGAAACAAAACAAAACAAACCAAAACAAACAAACAAAAAAACCCAAAAAGGTTTTCAAGGTACCCCTCTTGAAAATAAAAGGTGTTGTTTGTTTTTTTTTTTTAAATCAATGCTTGACTGAGCAGGAGCATGGTGTAATGATTCAGAAGTTAGACAGCATTTTGAAAGATTACAGAATACACAAAAGGTAAGAAACCCAGGACAGGCGGGGTATAAATGGGAGGAACTCAAAGCTCAGGTGTGTAAACTGAGCTGTACTGACCTTGACTGGAAAGCTGAGAAAGTAGGAAAAAAATGAACCCACATGAACTTTGGCCAGATAACAAACACTTCTGCTACAGAGTCTGAAGAAAGTTTAAACATTTTTTCTACCCATTTTTTGTGAAAAAATTATGTAACATAAACAGGAACTGGAGGAAACTGCAGAAAGACAAGGAAAAATGAAGGCGGTACAAAGAAACTCGTCTGCATCCAAAAGCCCAGCCTGAGCCACTCCTTGATCTGCAGAAACAGGGTGGGATATACCAACGTTCCCCCATTCCCCATTTCTGGAGCCTTTTTTGGTTTTGGGAAAATTGGGTGCTAAAGTCACCCTTCTTTTCCAGTGCTGCCTATGGATAGCTTTGCTCTGGAGAGTCCCCCCAGCACCCCCTCTCCACCCACCAGCAGCAAGACAAAGCCAGCAGCAAAGACCAAAACCCCGGAAAGCAGGCTGCCCACTTGTAAAACCTGCAAAACTCAGCCAGAGAGAAGCAAGGAGCAAACCAAACCTTGTGGGACAGTGCTGTGCCTTCGCTGCTCAGGCTTGGCTGAACTTTGCTTCCAGTGTCTCTAGCTGCAGATTTAAAGGAGAGGCTGAAGTCCGGGCAGCTCACCATGGCTCTTGCACCACTGACCTTTACACCCACACTCCTCCGCTCTGCTGTGCTTAAAAGTGCTGACAGAAAGTTCTCAGCCTCCCCGCGGCAGTAAATCTGGACCATAATCCCAAGGAGGCTGCTCATGAAAGGACTCCCACGCTGCAGCTCACAGCTGCCCTAACAGCCTGGGGTTGTCCTGATCTGTCCCTACATGTGCTGCCTGCACTGGGCAGGCGCTTGCTCGGCATCCTTGGGAAGTCAGCAAAGCATGATCCCTTTGCCTTTACGCCAGCAGGTGGCATGGATGTGGGACATGGTGCACAGTGCAGCCTAATGTTTTGGCCCTTGCTTGTGAGTTGCCCGCAGCATTTGTTGGCACGGCCCCAGCTAAGGAACTCCAGCTCTTCCCGTGCGCAGGGAGACAACGAGGCAGCAGCCTGCAGCACACTCTTGCCACAGCCAATGAAACTTTATTGATGGAAAGTCTCCCGGCGCACAAAAAAAAAGCCCCAGGATTGTCTTGTAGTAAAGAGCGCAGGAGTGCTCAGCCCTGCAGGCTACCAGCCCCAGTCTTGGGGGGCACAAACCACTACAGCCAGGGCCCTTCTGCTGGAAAGATGCTCCAGTTCAATCCCAGGGGTCATAGGGTTTAATGCTGGAAGAAGGGACAGCCTGACCTGTGTACCCAGCCCAATTAGCCCCCTGCTGGACTAAAGCCCCCAATTTCCAAGTGATTTGGGGCAGGGGACCTGTGCTCCTTTCCATCTGTGACACCTAGAGCCATTTTTGCTGGTCTTGTCCTCATTGCCTCCTGGCCAGTGTGGTCCAAGCGTGGCCATGCACACAGCAGTGCTCTGCTCATGGCAGCAGGCAGGAGAGCAGCAGAGATGCAACAAATGCTGGGGGGAGGCTGTCATCCCAAATGGATTGGGGCTGCAAAGCCGTGCTTGGGGATGAGCTGGAGCAGAAAGAGGTTTGTACCGCTGGTTCAAGTTTGATATTTGTTGTGTTCTGCCAAAATCCATTTCTCCCAGTCCTGTGCCACTCTGTAGGACTGTCTGACCTAAGATAACATCCCTACAGACAAGAAAAACCTAGAAAGGCTCAAAAATCTACTGGAAACTAAAAATCAGGGCAGCCAAGAGAAGGAGAAACCCCATCACAGTCAGGAGAGAAGGGCATAGGCTGTAAGAACCAGCAGGGACTCGTGTTCTCGTGGGCTTCAGGGTCCGGTCCCACTGGGTGAGGATGGCCTGGCGTGCTCCCTCCCAGTGGCCAGGGCCCCCCAGCCGGTACTGGTAGGGGGTGCAGGGGCCAAAGAAAATGGTGAGGGCCAGCTGAGGATCTCTGCAGAGCAACCTCAGCACACTGGGCTTGGCACCAATGAAGGAAGCAAGCTCGTCCATGTAGACCAGCCATTCGGTTTTGAGGACTTCATCAAAGGACAGACCGAACCTTAATGAAATGGAGAAGAGAAACAGGTGGAAGCAGAACTGGTGTCAGCAGGGCTGAGAGGAACTGTGCATCAGATCCTCTGTGTTTGTGTTGTTGTTGCATCTGAATACAACTGGGTTCCTCATAGGAAAGGACTGTGTGTCTCTGCAGTGGGTACCAGAGTCTGTCTGGGCCTGAATCCTGCCTGTGACAGCATGTGTAAAGTGATGCTGGGTCTAGTACACACCTTTCTCATGGGTATCAGCTGATCCTTCACTCAACCCACAAGTTTTATCTGGAGTCCCACTCTTCACTTTGGTGGACTTTTTCTAAAAGACTTTGTCAAACCATTTTTTTGGGTGGGTTTTTTTTTGTTTGTTTGTGGGGGGCTTTTTTGTTTAACTGTTTTTCCTTTGCCTTCTGCAGAGAAGTCACATGTAGCATGAGAAAGGCAGCACCCTTTAGTTTCTCCCACATTCATTTCTACCAAGTATTGCAAAAATACATGTCCAGTTGGAGAATTGCTTCCAGTTCACCTTCTGTGCAGAATTCACAGCTTCATGTCCCACTTTCTGTGGGCTGAAAAAAGCCACGTGTGTTCAGCCTTGCATCGTACAAGAATTATTCTGTGCAATTCTGCATTTCATTCTTCTATACCTTTTCTACTGTAGCAATCTAGATGAGCCATGGATAAATGTATCACTTGTTTCCTGGGTTTATCTAACTCATTTCTGCATTTTCTTAGCCTTTGTTCTGACCTTTTGCCTGGCTACGAACCATGTGCCATTGTGCTTAGACGCATATTCAGTGAGTTAGATATCCATGCTGAGAGGGGAGACAATTTGTATGCTCGTGTCAGGTTGGCTTTCTTTTTCCGTGCTGAATTTCTTTTCATTTGTTACCATTAATTCTTTTGCCACTCTATCTCAGTCCCTCGGGACCCTGGCACACCTCCCCAACTCACAGGCAAGCTTCAGTCTACTACCCTGAACTAATTTCTTCCTGTCTTCAACAGGAAAAATACCACTGTCAATTCAATGGTTACATCAGCTCAGTGCAAATGAATAAGGGGGTGGCTGGATCTGGGTATACTCACTTTGCCTCCACTATATGTGCAAGGAGCAACCACAGAGCATGAGCTATATTGCTGACACCCAAATTCTGGGGGCTTTTCAATCCACCAAAAAACCTCTGGGCCTCTGGAGACTGGCTTACCTTCGTACTTGGTTTTTCTTCACTTTGTTTACTTCTTTCTCCATGACAGACTGAGGAGGCAACTGACACAAGCCTAGAAGAGAGAGGAGAACATCCTGCAGAGTTTAACTCCTGGGGGAACTTGTGAACTCCTTCAGTGATGCAAAACATGGAAAGCTCTTCTTCAGGAGGGCAGGAAAACCTCATTGCTCAGATGTAGCTTGGCAGTGGCAATTCTGCCAGAGACCAGCCCTCCACAAGGGTTCAACCACACTC